ACCTTTTGATGTACGCAAATTTTTTCCCTGTATTAGACAAGATACTTTCAGGTGTCTCTTGACTAGGGTTCTCCTTATTTTCAACAACTATTTCTGGTTCTTTGTTTTCACAGACCTCAGGTGTACTTGATGTTACAAAAATTTTTGATAATGGGTTAGAAACTTGTCAAAAATCTTCTCCTCCATCTATATTATACTCCCCCTGAAGTAGATTTTTGTGAAAGAAGGGAATTTTTTTCATGAAAGTCACATCCATACTACTGCAAATTTTTTTTTGTGACAGAATTAAAGCATTTGTAATCCTTTTTGTTTGAGACATATCCAAGAAAAAATGCATTTTTCAGATTTTGGATCCAATTTTGATCGGCAATTATTCGGAATATGAGTAAATCATGTGCATCCAAAGATTTTTAAAGGAATATTTGAAGACATTCGTAGACTTAAAAAATTATATTTCAGTTTGTTTAGAGGAGTTGTATATTATAAAACTCGAGTTGACATTCGGTTTATTAAATATGATGTTGTTAAAATAGTGTCCCCCCCATAAACCCCATAAATATTTTAAATATTTTGGAACATTCATTGAAAACATGATAGCCCGAACAACCTCAAGTAAATGTCTATTTTTTCTTTCAGTAATTTCATTTTGTTGTGGAGTGTCACAAGTAGATTGATGAATTATGTCTTTGTTTATTAAGAACTCCCCTAAACATTCATTAAAATATTCAATTTCATTGTCAGATCTAAGGATGCATATTTTAGTTTCAAATTGAGTTTCAATCATGTTGTAAAAATCTTTAAAATGTTTTTCAATTTCTAATTTTTTACTTATAAGATAAACTCAACATATTCTGGTGTGATCGTAATAAAAGTCACAAATCCCCTTTTCCTAGATAATGTTTTGACTTTTCAAGGTCCCCAAACATCACTATGGATTATGTAAAAAGGTTTTCAAGGAGAGTATGGTTTTGGAGAGAAATTGATGCGATGACTTTTTGCCAAATAACATGTTTCACATTGAAGTAAAGCACAATTAACACCCTTAAAAAAATTTGTAAATAAATGTTTTAAATAAGAAAAACTTGGATGACCTAGTCTAAGATGCAATTCCATTATTTTCTCTAATGCAGGGTTCGACCTCATAATGCTGTAAGCTTCAACCTTATTTTTACCAGGAACAGTTTCCTCAAAATAGTAAAGTCCTATCTTTTTAACTCTCCTAATCTTCATCCCCAACTTTTGGTCCTGAAAAACACAAGAGGATTAACAGAAAATTATACGGCAGTTAGAATCTTTTGAAAGTTTGCTGACAGATAGAAGATTGCATTTGAGTTTTGGAAAATGGAGTACAGATTTAAGACATATACTCTTGGACAGGTTAATGTTTCCTTTTCCAGCAACTGAAGAGAAAATACCGTCAGCAATACGAACATTTTCATGGCCAGAACATGGGATGTATGAATGAAATAGATAATGTAAATTAGTTATATGATCAGAAGCCCTCGAATCAATAATTCAAGGGTTTAGTTGTCTACCTGCATGTACCATTGAACAAGTTGGGGTACTAGTAGCCAAACTGGGGTTTAGCAGTTTCAGGAGTTTATCGATTTGCTCTTTGTTAAATGAGTTGGTTTGTTCGACAATATCATTAGCAGTAGGTGGATTGCGCTTGTTTCTTGGCTTCCAGTCTGCAGGTTTACCGTGGAGGTACCAGCAGGTTTCTTTAGTGTGTCGTGGCTTGCTGCAATGATCACACCATACCCGTGGTTTCTCCTCATTCTTCCGTGAATATGGAACAATCCGCTTGCTGATATGAGCCTCCGATTAGAATGCCGAAGTCTCGGGTACGCTGGTAGGAATGGATTTCTTTTTGAGCATCACTCTTCTTCGAGTTTCTTCGCGGCGAACTTCTGAGAAAGCCTCATGGATTGAAGGCATGATAAAAAAGAAGAGATGGTTCGGCTTTGCAAGTGGCGGAAGAAGTCCATGCAGCTCAGGAAGTAGGAATCAGAGATAGGCCGAAGGTTCGACGGGATCGCGACTCGCGGTAGAAGGATCGCGGCTTAGGATCGCGGCTTGCGGGATCGATCGGGGCTTGCAGGATCGCTGCTTGCGGAAGCGAGCAGTGGCTGCGCAGGGACGAAGACTAGGATTTTTTTTTTCAAAATTTTATCTCCCGCTCTGATACCATAAAACCAGAAATTGAAGAGAAAATTTTATTTTTTCTTTTTTTGATTCAATTCAAGGTGCATTTACATATAGGAGTCTCACCTCCTTAGATAAGTAAATTAACTAAATAAATTCAAAGAAATTCCTATTACATTCTAAGACTAATTCAGCAAGATAAAAATAAGGAAGGAGAATAATATCTATAGAAAAGGAAAGACAATAAATATTGTAATTTGAATTTTAAAATTTGAATTAGATCTTTCAACATATTGGTAGAACTTTTATTTTTGTTCTTTGTGGGATTTTAAAATGATTTAAATGATATTTTTGAAGTGGCTAGAACAATAAATTTGTTTTTTTTGACTTAGTTCCATGTGTTTTTTTTTCTTCTAAATTTGAAGTCTTTTGAGCAAATATTGAATCTTTGTAAATATATACCATTCTAAAAGGTTCAAAATGTGTTCTTTCTTTTTTTCACTTTATGTTTGATTGGTACACCAAAATTTGTCATTTTGATGTAGTCATACTTGATTGATCTCTGTTAACTTTCAATTTTCCTTCTAAATTCGTAGTTTTTGGAGCAAATATTGAATCTTTTGGAACCTCCCTGCAGATAGTGAGCATTCTGTTATCTCTCCCAGACATTCATGTCAACGCTCTCACAAGAGACCACAAAACCGCCTTCGACATTGCCGAATCTCTCCCCCTTTCCGAAGAATCAAAGGACATCAAAGACATACTCTCCCACTTCGGCGCCGTTCCCTCCAACGAGCTCAACCAGCCCCGCGACGAGCTGCGCAAAACCGTCACCGAAATCAAGCAGGACGTCCACACCCAGCTGGAGCAGACCCGGAAGACCAACAAGAACGTCAGCGGAATCGCCAAGGAGCTCCGAAAACTGCACCGAGAGGGCATCAACAACGCTACCAACTCCGTCACGGTGGTCGCCGTGCTCTTCGCCACGGTCGCATTCGCCTCCATCTTCACCGTGCCCGGCGGCGACTACAACAGCGGTATGGCAGTGACGGTGGGAACGAGCTCCTTCAAGATATTCTTCATATTCAACGCGATTGCTCTGTTCACGTCGCTGGCGGTTGTGGTGGTTCAGATAACGCTGGTGAGAGGGGAGACAAAGTCGGAGAGGAGGGTGGTGGAGGTGATCAATAAGCTGATGTGGCTTGCGTCGGTGTGCACGACGGTGGCGTTTATAGCGGCGGCGTATATAGTGGTGGGGAGGCGGGCGGTTTTGGGGGCGGTTTTTGTGGGCTTG